CCCCGCCACACCCCGCCACTCTCCAGCAGCATGTGTTCGTATGGACCGTTCGTGTTAGGCCCCGAGGGGGCCTTGTCTCGACAAACAGGGGAAGTAGAAAATACACCGTTTCCTGCTTTCTGTAAACTTTTAAACTTGACTTTCATTTTCGAAGAGCAACAAAAAGTTCATGGTTTTGTGACGTTAGAATTGATGAAAGCTTAATGTCCGACAGACATGCTTGCTTACGACGGCAGCGGGGGATCTCTTTGAATTCGGCACAAAGCATTTGTCTGTGTCATTCAAACATACCTTGCTCATCAGACCGTCGCTTAATACACGTCAGCGCGTCTCACTGTGCCTCAGATTCGCATTTACTCGACTCGTCTTTTCTCAGATGCATCGCCATGGCATTCAACCACGATGGGGGCCCCCGCCGTCGAGGTAGGCAACTCTTTGACACTCCCTCTCCCGCATCCGTCTGACCACGTCCTGACCAACCACTCCCACCTTTTACTTCTACCCCCCCCCCCCCCTCTCGCCCCCCCCCCCCCCCCCCCCCCCCCCCCCCTTTTTCTTTCCCCCCCCCCCCCCCCCACCTATCTTCTTTCATGTCTCTGCACATCGTCTGGCGAAACTATTATGGTCTCTTATATTGACATAACGAGCGACCGGGAAGTCTACACTTAACCATAGGCTATTTCCAACACATCAGTTAAATAGATAATACACTTCCTCGGAGGATTTGTATACCGCATCTTTTCTGGCTCTGGGGGATCCACAGACGAGCGCCAGCGCGCTGTTCAACGCCTACAGAACCATCCGGTAGATCCCTTCAGAGCCCCTGCGAAGTCCAGGGTAGGCAACCGCCACACACGCGTGCACAGATGTCGCTGTGTTGCCTATGTGCCAGGCGCCTCGGCCTGATGCGTCAAAAATCCCAGCGGCTCGCGTCCTGACCGGGCGTATCAGAAGTTTGCCTATTATTAGAAACTGCTAATTCTCTCTGTCTGTAAAGGCACTTCCCGTGTGGCCCCTTCCTTCGCTTCGGTCCAGGTGAGGACTACAATCCGGCAACATTGAGGTCTATTCCCCCGATTCCGATACACCCCGGTACGTCCAGAACAGGGTCTGCCGTGCCTCGGACGTGCGTCAATAGACGGACGGCGAGACACAGAGAGAAAGACAAGAGAGAATGGGCGGGGGGAGGGGGGTAAGCGAAGCAAAGCGAAGCGAGCTGGCTGGAGACCTTGACAGTGGCTCGTTCCAGGAGAGTCGCGCCCAGCTCCGGTCCACGTGTCCAGTGACTTGGGCCCCACGTGCTCACCTGTCTAATTCAGCAGCGCCGGTCGGCTGAGTTCACCGGTCAAATCATAGACAACATCGTGAGGAGAGGAGGGGGGGG